ACACTAAATTCATGATTGTTCTTCACTCGTTGTTATCAAATATTAATGGATTATCAAGTATGACAACTGCATTTTCAAACAAATCACAATCTGGAATTATTTAAGTTCACAACAACATAATTTCCAGACCCGGGAGCAGTTCAACTGACAGATGAGCACAACCCTGCCTGAAGCAGTACACACATCGACATAACAAAAATATCTTAACAGTTAATCACACAAAGGTTATCTGTTTCATCATATCCTAAATTCAGCTAACGATTACAACTGGGAATGATCGTCTCTAGACCATGTAGACATCAGTCCATTTTTATCCAGAACTTTAAAGTCAGATTCATCCAATACAAAAGAATCCCAATAGTCTGGAAAACCCACTTTCAGGAATAAAATACCAAGAAATGATAAAAAGAATATTACTAACTACCCACTGTGCACATAATTCGTTAATCTGTTTTACTGTCCTCGAAATGGCACCTTCTACAGGGGGTTCAGTAGCGTCTACTCTATAGTGTATACTAAGGATGGCTATCAATATAGATCACAGAGATCGCTAACTTAATATCGATCAATTATTGAAAAATATCGGAGAAGGAACTTTAAGCCCAAAATGCAAAAAAGTCCCGAAAGAAAACATATTTCACGCCACTGGGGAGCAGTGACACATTTATGCATGGATTACTTTGTGGACATTTGTGATATACAGTGTAACAAAAACAGTTGCTTTCCATCTTTGACAATTGACATTATTGACAATGATAAGTCTTTTTCGGTAAATCTAATCTTTGTTTACCACAATAGTTTATGTTTTTTGGTTTGTTGTTTTACACCGCACTCAGCAATATTCCAGCTATATGACGGCGGTCTGTAAATAATCGAGTCTGGACCAGACAATCCAGTGATTAACATTATGAACATCGATCCACGCAATTGGGATCGATGACATACATCAACCAAGTCAGCGAGCCTGACTACCCGTTCCAGTTAGTTGCCTTTTACGACAAGCAGTCGTCTTTCACAGCAAGCATGGGTTGCTGAAGATCTATTCTACCCCAGATCTTCACAGGTCCAATAGTTTAATAGTTTATGTGAGTTATTATCGATGACAACAGTATCATATCAATAATTGTTAATATTTCTTTCCATTCTTTCAATTCCGATTATCAATCTTTTTAGCCAGCTCAAGTGTATACATAATGTGACAAGACAGGGATTTATCTAGGATTTCAAACTAAGTGCCCTTGGCAGGTAAAGTGAGGAATAATGTACTGTTTTGTTCAAAATTGTGATTTCTTTTTTAATTCTTATTTTCTGAACATGTTGAAATCAGAGCCTTTTAACACTGAATTCAGAGGCGGACCTAAAACTGAAAAAGGAGGTGCACATAATACCGAAGTTACAACGTGACTTGAATGAGGCTGCAAATGACATGCAAGTTGAAGAAGGGGGGTGCGCACCCCCGCCAGTGACATTCAATACATGAAAAATGATGTGAAACTAAGTAAAACACCATATACCGTCACTGGTCTTGTTATCAGATGAAGAAAGTCGCCTCTACAAAGACTTAACATTAGTTGAACATGATGAGCTGAGAAATATTTTAACATCAATTTGGGAATGTTTACTGACATTTGTTGCAGACGTAAGGACAAATATGGGCCTCGTAGCAGTCTAGATACATCCCTGCATGAGTGATTTTGCTTTGAACAATTTATACAGGGACATATATTTAGTTACACTATAACAGAAATAATGACAAATAGTGCGAGAAATAAGCACTGCACCTCTGCTATTGGTATAGAAACTGTACCCCCATTTGGAAAAGAATCCATGAAGTAGTTTTTAAGATATATGTCGCATAAATGTTGAAATAAAAAAAATAACAGAAACAATTACAAACAGTGGTAGAAATAACCACTAACCATGCTAACCACACATTTAATCTAATTTTAACACTATCCTAAGGGATAGGGAAAGATTTGGAAGTGATCATTTCCTCTCACTACAAGCTAATCAATATGACCTTACAGTATATCTGTTTATCATCGTGCATCTACAATGATGCCGCACAGTGATAGAGTTAATGAAGCTTCCTACAGAGATAAATACTAACAAGCAACAATGGTCATGTTGATATCAGTGGCTCCTGTCTCCGGACCAGGCCCAGCTCCACATGACGTAACCGCTACACACAGATAGGAAGGAGGCTATTACACTGCAATACTGTATACACTGATTATCTGTCATTGTGCTTTCATGTTGTAAGAGAATTGGACTATAACAGAGTTAAAATATACTCAGCGTCATTATCAGCGTTAGAAATTGGCACTAGTCCTGTAGTCCTTGCCAAACTGCCCAATAGTTAAGGTGTCATAAGGACTAGTAGAAATTTGCCATTTTTAAGGGTTTTGCTATATGTTATCATTATACATGTTATAAGGACTAGTGGACTAAAACTGTAGAGTTTCTACAGCTGATTATTGAGGGTCACCTAGGTTTGTAGGGTGTCAAACATGAACATATGCAATAAGCGTCAATAGGTCTGAATATGTTGACAGTGTGATTAACATGATCAACAGTTGAAGAACGTGTTGATTATGGCTTTGTCACACTGATTGGATGCCTTTATGAAACTGGAAAAAAGGACAATGAAAAGGTGAAAGTGATGGAAAAAGTAACACAAAACCCACGCCTGAGCGCAACCAGTGCATGACAAGTAACCATGGTAACAGTCAATGTGGGTATAAAATGGTTCAATCCAGATGCAACTGAACTGAATTCTTGAAAGTTAAAAATGCAATGTTTTTTTAATACTTTTATCTCTTTCTTTTTTTTAGGAAGACCCCTCAATAATAAAGGTAGCGTTAGAAATTGGCACTAGTCCTGTAGTCCTTGCCAAAGTGCCCAATAGTTAAGGTATCATAAGAACTAGTAGAAATTTTAAGTCTTGCCATATGTTATCATTATAAGGACTAGTGAACTAAAAATGTTAGTTTCTACCGCTGAGTAAAGCATTACTGTTATGTTGCTCTGATTTCCCATTTGAACGTCCTACAGATGTTACAGTGAGACATGCATCTAGCCCAAGTCTGACATAACACGCACACCATCACATTGTCATACACATGTACATACATCTAAACCTGGAAACAAAGGCCTAAGTGCCATAGTACCTGTCATTATAGGCCTCAGGCAAGGCCTTTCTTCTCTCACCACAAAGGTCACCATGACTCTTCCACCCACATGGGGCACCTTATTCAGGTTCATAGCAGAACACTTATTCTGCTACATCGTAACATTGAATTGTTCTTCTTATCAAAAGGCTTCACCTCGTATTTCTTTACTAAAAATTGTTAACTACATATTAGAATTTGTAAGCACCTTCCCCAATCAGGTATGTTTGTTTGTTGTTTAATGCCTCACTCAGTAATATTCCAGGTATAAAACAGTTTGTAAATAAGTCTAGACCAGACAATCCAGTGATTGACATATTGACATCTTGAGCACTGATCTACGCAATTGGCATACAACAAGCTTGGGTTGGAAAAGACAAATTGTAACCCGAATCTTCACAGGGGCCCCAGTCCAGTTTGAATGTCATTCATATCAGTGCAGGGGTCCGGAAACCGTCATATGCGCCGGACATGTCCGATTGGGAATCTCAAATGTCCGTTTTAAAATATTGCTTACCGGACATTTTAAAAAGTATTGTCCGGACATTCTTAAATTTTGACCGGACATGATCAACAGTTAGGACTGAGCAGTTTCTGTCTGAAGTTGCAACACAAAGAAGATTAACTACACTGACAAGCTTTGTTTGTTTTGATTGCTGTAAATACCGTACATCGTACCTACATGATAGTCCAATCGGTCAATCACTGTAATAGGCAATAAACTGAGTTGACACTGATTAATCGAGGATTAATTACTGAGAACATCTTGTAAATTTGAGTGAAAGGTGTTTACAACTGTACATTAATACCTTGCATCATCGATGTACCTCATTATCCTCACAATGCTACGATACGTAACCTCAGACAAGAAGCGAAAGCGTGATGACAGCCAGTCGACCGATGCAGATCAGTCGAGCGGATCTGCCAAACCCTCAAAGTCTGGACGATCATTTTGTAAGTCGTGGCTAACGACTTTCACTTGGTTGACATACAATGAGCATTTGCAGATTTTATTGTTTTCAGTAGCTAGTCGTATATTGAATCTTGATTGACCGCCATTTTGCTTTCTCGGACGATCGATATCCAATTTTTTTATGGTCAATAAATAAGTACAGATGAAAAAAGTATTCAAATAACTATTGCTATCAACGATATTTTAGTATTTGTGATTAAATTATCTGTCTTGTTTTTAAAAAAATCTTTAGTTTAAAAAAAACATTTCCCGTGAGGTCACGTGATAACCAAATATGGGATAATAGTCTCGATCCAAATGTTACAACGCGTACACTTGAGCAGACTCATGAATATAACTCATGAATATTAACTAGACCGTTCACTACGTTAACAGATCGTTATTATAACAGAAACATGTAAATCTAAAATGATATTATTTGTTATTAATTGTCCGGTGAATTAAACAATTTAAATTGAAACAATTCATAATTCATCATATTATGAATACGTAAACTTGTAATGTGTGTGAAAAGTCGTACTAAAATACGCTATTTGAAGGGGGCGTGGCCTAAATGCAAATGTCCGATTGGGATTTTAAATTTTCCGGACCCCTGTATCAGTGATATCACGATCTTATTTTTCCAATGTAACATATTAGAGAAATACACAAGTTAATATAACTTAATGTATAATAATTATTAAAATTATTGGATAAGTTGGAATAATATTTCTGTCATTGACAACTGATATAAATACAAAATAATTCTGTTTGAGGGTTGGCTAAAGGAAACTTTTGCAAACTTAAATGAAAGAAACTACCAAATGATACCTTAAAAGGTAGTTCATACTAGTAATGGCAGCAAATTATTAACTCACATCCACAAGGTCAATCCTCTGTGCAATGCTGTCCAGGCATTCCTGGCCTGTGCTATCAGATGACAACGTACATTCCAAGAACGAACTATCCAACAGGTACACACCAACTATGAATGAATTCTTCGATGATATGTCATAACGACGAGTCCTTTTCGGTCTCCACTTGAATGGCATCTTAAATATCCAAAATGTCACTGTTCTTCTTAAAAACGGTTCTGAAATAAATGGACATATCCTTGAGTATTTTGTAAAGTATATTAAATGGGTGTGTAGGGTTGAGTCAGAAGGTAATCATTTCTAGCTATGACTTAAAGAACTCATACAGGAATATAAATTTATGGCAGATCAATCATTAATTGACAACATATAGATCTATATGTGACATCTAACCCTCCTAAAGTAACGCTATCATGTATTAATAGTTCTCAGATAAGTTAAACAACTCATCGTCTTTCAATGAACACACCTATACAGAGTATATCCCCATATAACAAACATCAATTATTGATTTAAGCTTACTAATAAATAGATAGACCCTACTGTTATTGAAATGACATAGCAATGTGATGTGAACATAAGAAACGTGATGGTGTCACAAGACATCCAGGGTAATGAGATGGGTACTAACTTCAAGATAAAACATAACGCGGTGTTCCGGAAGCAAGTGGGCACCGCTAATCCTTTACAACACTGTCACTGATGTTCTTCACTTCAGATGAAACCTTTGCTGACAAATGACTTTGGTGATGTTACTTTTACAATTGTGTATTTCCAAACAGAGGAGCAAGCGGCTTTTCTATCTTCCCACGATGATCTAAATACGTGGGAAAGACCGCCCGCACGGTTGTGACTGCATGTGTCATCACAAACCGTGATGTCTCATAACGAGGATTGAAGGTCCATGTTTTGTTGTCAACCCAAGTCAGAAAAGTGGTTTGACATCACATTTCCCGCACAACTATTTCTATCTAAGGAACAGGTGCGCGCCCCAGCTGTACCTCTCATGGGGCGAACAATGACTCCGCAAGATTGCGTATAATACACGAATGTGATTTAGACAAAGTGATTGATCAACGATGGCAATCAAAATTCCATTTTTTGTTTGTTTTTAAAATACCTTATGTTGTTGTATTGTTTTATAAATTACAATCCTCTTCTTGGGGACTAGTCATTTGTATTTCCCAATAGGGGATGTGCCTAGCAGTAATCAGGTTACCAACATTTTTCACAGAGAATTTATGAAGTCAGGAAGTGGGATAAAATCGAAACACACATTTTGGTTGAGAGACCGTCATGTTTCTGTTACAGTTCTAATCATGGTTCTTGATATAATTTTAGGGTCATGGTAAAATTGTGGTCATACAAAATGGTCATACATTTGAAAAATATATCTGCTATTATTTTCCTTTATTCTGCTAAATACATGAAACAGTGTCTTGTTACATATTATCTCTCTTAGTTATGTCCCGTATTTCTACAACCAGAGACCGAATGACACACTCCGCTTTTCAGAATATTAACTATCTCTATAGTAGTTTTTCTGTTATTCTGATATCGGTGTGTGACTGGAAGAAGGGTGTGCGAAAGAACAGAAGGACGGACAGTTAGACAACGCCCTAAAGTCCCGCTCCCGATTCGTAGCGGGGGAAATATTATAACCATTTAATCTGACCAGCCAGGAAGAAAACTTTCAAATACGTATGTCATTTGGAATTCAAAACTTTTAAATTGTGTTTGTAACTAAATGATGAGCATAATGCAATATACATAACTATATATTCTGTTCTTAATTATTTCATTTCTGAACCAATTCTTACCAGATTTTGGTTTGGGATTTTTATTATTGTATCAAACTCTCATTAGATGTTTAGAAAACTAAAGGTATTTTTTTCCATTCTTGTAGTGAGTGATTATGGTTTTCAGCCGCGTTTAGCAATATCCGAAATGGACTTCACAGACTATTCTTAGAACCAGGTCATACAGTAGATCGGTTGCTTTACGTTTATTCTTCTGACTATGACGATTTGTAACACAAAATAAAGACATCGTATTTTCATAATTGCACCAAGAAACAACTGAGTCTATAAATATTGCTCCTGCTTCGTTCCAGTTAAATGTTTTTGGTCACAATAATGTTTCTAATAAACACAGAGAAATATTCTGAAAGGTTTTTATGAATATTTGATTAATGTTATATTTGGCCAAGAAATATATTCTAATCTTCCCGAGGCAAAACTAGACTTTCATAGTCAGTAAACTCCCTTGCCTCGGGAAGATGATATATTCTATAATGATACATGGGTCTACATACGTGCGATTTTCTTCCTACAGTTTCCTTCAGAATTTCAACTTTGAGAATGATAACGAATATCATTGTAACCAATAAAAAATATTTGTTATGAAAAACACTTTCATATGTTTTACCAACAATCATAACTCTCTCCCTTTTTTGTACTTGGCGTCTCATGTCCTAAAAAATATTTAACATACACAACAACTGTTCAATATTCATTTTTGAAATCATTGTTTTGTTGGTTTTTTTAATTATTATTTCCTTTCATTTTAAAATACTGATTCGGATAGCCATATTTAATGAGACAATATACAAATATATGGTCTCTGGTTTAATTTGTGTATTATTGCTTCGGTTACCACGAGAAAATGCAGTACTCTAAGAATTCGTATCTAGCGATATTGAAACATCGTAATAAGAAAGAAATTATCATACTAAACAAAAAGGAATTGGCGATGCATTGATGCAAATGCAACACACACCCTTCCCCGTTGTATACCACCGCCTCGCCTACATGACAACGTACACTTTCGACAGACAACTAAATGTGAACACAAATATACAATAAGTTGTAAGGAATATAGATTTCGTATTTGACAGTGACGTAAATGGGTTAGGCATTTCAGATATTTGACCAGTGTCGCATCAAATAAAGTTGATAAACGTCAAAACGAAATGTTTTGACAACCCCCAATGAGGTGACTAGTCTCATTATGGTACTTAGATCTTAGAGATCAAGTATAACACTAATCTACGTAGAATCGAAGTCGTAAATTAGCTTCAAGCGCATGCGCAATGGAGATGGCGGTTTAGGGTGCGAAATTCGAAAGCCCAGTGTATTCAAGAAAATAAGGGTTAATCCGGCGTAAGTTTTTAGTAATCATCTACATCTTTTATATGGCAATAATATAACTGATAATATTATATGATTTTAAAATACTAAATGAAATGATTATTTCAATATTGAGAGATTGGACAGTTTTGCCTAGGTTATGTTTGTTTTCATTTGCGAAAATGGAATCAGATATGGTTTCAGCTGGTTTTCCTTTTTGACACAAATCACGAATGGATCGATACGCTGTAAATATTCCCATGTAGTAAGGGCGAAACGTATTTGATTTTGCATCATTTGATTTTCACTTCGGACTATTAGAAGCCAAAATCGTTAAAGCTAAGCCTGAGTCTTTTTTTTCTCTTTCGTAATTTGAATAATTTGCTTTGATAGTCATACAGGCGGGATGGTACATGAGTCTGAATAAAGGATACCTCCCATATATGAATAAAAACTAATTTTCAACTTTTTGATCACAAATATTAAAATATATATGACTCTTTACCAACTTTTGTTTATTGAATGAAGTTTGAAATGGTTAAACAAGACATGTCAATTGTAAACACAGGTGGATCATTGAGTTAATTATAAACCAGATCACTGAAATCAGTCAAAACCAGAAAGTAAAACATATCAAAGGTCACAATATCATGAACATGGTGAAGATAAAGATGCTAAAGCTGGTTGAGACAGGAAAAATAAGAATGGATACATTTCTGGAAACAACATTCAGCTATTTGTATGTAAGTTAATTTCTTGATACACGAAGTGAAAGACATAATTATAATGTAGAGTTTTTAAAATGGACTATTTTTTCCTTTGTGCAGGTAAGCCAGGATGAGTTGGGTAGCAGATGAATGGAAGGATGGGCTACCCCCACGGGCTCTACAGAAGATCGAACAGCTAGAAAAACAGTTTGAACGCATTAAAAAAGAGAGAGAACAGAAGCAATTTCAGTTGGAGAGTTTGGAACAGGTTTGTTTTACATCTCATCTTCCATGATAATGGACATGTATGCGATAAACTAGTAATATTTGTAATTTTAGTGTGTTTCTTGGTTATATTGGTTGGTTTGTTTTACAATATTCATGATCATAACAGTGAAACATTTCCTTCAATCTCATAAGTTAATAGTGTTAGTATAGGGGCATCTTCAACAGTGTTCAATGCATTTTACTTTATTCTTTTTGAAGCTAGAGATTTTTTAGCATTGTTTTATGTGAGGGACTTGCAGCATTTTCAAATATATTTTGAAGATCAGCAACTGTCACTTTTCATTATCACTTTACATGCTTAAGGAAAAGCTTTATGTGAGGATTTATAATGAACAGGCATTACAAGCTCAGAAGCGGAAAACTGAGGAAGAAAAGAACCAACAAGGGGTGCTTAAACGTGAAGCGCAGTCTTTGTCTGAGACATGTGAGGACCTAGAGAAGAAGCGGCAGAAGCTTGCCCAGGATATTCAGACAAAGACAAATCATGTGTCATGTCTCGAAGGCCAACTGTCACATGCTAAGCAGTCACTGGATGCAGAGACTAACAAGGTACAAATCATATGAGTAACTGAGTGTTAATACAGTTAGCGTCCAACAGTACTCAGCACTGATGCTCTTTTACTGTTTATTTTTTTAATTCTTTTTAGCCTTTGAAGAAGTTCCCTAAGTTTTACCTTGAATTAAAATACTATCCACTCTTCATCTTTATTTAGTGTATGGGGCATCGGTAGATCAGTTGTCTAATTGGCTGCAACGTGATGTGCAGATTTAAGCTGGCAAGGAGTTTGATTCTCTGATTAGCCATGACTATGAACCAGTCTGTCATCACCATACTCATGGTTGTGGATTTCACCAAGGTGGTAAAGCCTGATGATCAGTGTAGTGAAATAAGCACCTGACCGTAGTCCAGTGGTAGATAGGTCTTGTGTTAGGCCTGTAGTCCTGTGGTAGATGGGTCTTGTGTTGGGCCTGTAGTCCTGTGGTAGATAGGTCTTGTGTTGGGCCTGTAGTCCTGTGGTAGATAGGTCTTGTGTTGGGCCTGTAGTCCTGTGGTAGATTGGTCTTGTGTTGGGCCTGTAGTCCTGTGGTAGATGGGTCTTGTGTTAGGCCTGTAGTCCTGTGGTAGATAGGTCTTGTGTTGGGCCTGTAGTCCTGTGGTAGATAGGTCTTGTGTTGGGCCTGTAGTCCTGTGGTAGATGGGTCTTGTGTTGGGCCTGTAGTCCTGTGGTAGATGGGTCTTGTGTTGGGCCTGTAGTCCTGTGGTAGATAGGTCTTGTGTTGGGCCTGTAGTCCTGTGGTAGATAGGTCTTGTGTTGGGCCTGTAGTCCTGTGGTAGATGGGTCTTGTGTTAGGCCTGTAGTCCTGTGGTAGATAGGTCTTGTGTTGGGCCTGTAGTCCTGTGGTAGATAGGTCTTGTGTTAGGCCTGTAGTCCTGTGGTAGATAGGTCTTGTGTTAGGCCTGTAGTCCTGTGGTAGATAGGTCTTGTGTTGGGCCTGTAGTCCTGTGGTAGATAGGTCTTGTGTTAGGCCTGTAGTCCTGTGGTAGATAGGTCTTGTGTTAGGCCTGTAGTCCTGTGGTAGATAGGTCTTGTGTTGGGCCTGTAGTCCTGTGGTAGATAGGTCTTGTGTTAGGCCTGTAGTCCTGTGGTAGATAGGTCTTGTGTTGGGCCTGTAGTCCTGTGGTAGATAGGTCTTGTGTTAGGCCTGTAGTCTCAATTTAGTACAGGTCCTTATGGCCTGCTTAAGATTTATGTGTTGTTTTATTTGTCACAATAAGGTGCGGTTTTGAGGGCCTGAAGAGTTTAGTCAGGGCATGCAGCTTCTAAAGTCGATGGGTCCTAATGGCAACCTGACAATTTATTTTATTTGAAACACTGCCAATGACCTGTGGCTTTCCTCCCACATTAAGATGACATGCTATAATATGACTGAAATACTGACCAAACCAGTGCTAAACCCAACTTTTTCACTTTATCACTGTAACGGTATCTCAGTGGACTAGCGCTACAAAACCATCGATTTTCATTCGAACAAGCAGACGTGCACACACACACATCACAGCATAAGTGCAATAATCTGGAACACAAGGCTCACCTCACCTCACCTCACCTCACCTCACCTCACCTCACCTCACCTCACCTCACCTCACCTCACCTCACCTCACCTCACCTCACCTCACCTGCTGTTTCTGTCAGGTGTCCCAACTGAAGACAGAGCTAGACCATGCTCAACACGAGCACCTTGAAGCTGTCAAGAAGTTTGAGAAACTGACGTCCGACCACAGTCGCCTGCAGGAGTTCAGCAACCATCAGAAGAAACAACTGGAGGACCGCATCCGTTCACTGGAGGCTGACCTGCGCCAGGATGGGCAGAGAATAGGTGGAAATGGAGGAGGGGGGAAACAGGTGCCCTCACCTACCGCCATATCACCAAATGTGTCAAACGGTGAGTTTACATTCTGGTATATCACCGATTTTGCGCATCTTTTCTTAAATGCTACTAGATTATTATTATTACTACTACTATTATTGTGTGTGAAGTTCTTGTAATGGTTTAATGGTCATCGAATCTGTGCTTACAGCTGAAATAAGTACATTGAAGAATCAACTAGCAGAGCTGACGTCACTCCGCCAAAAGGATCTAGATGATCAGAAGAAGCTGCAGGATGAACTCAAGACTTTGCAGTCACAGGTACAACTTTACCTACTGTTTGTGAATGATATTATGGTTCTGTCTTACGCCGGATAGAATAAATATCTTGTCCCTAATTAGCCCTGCTAAAATCTTTATTAATTTCACATGTTACCATATACAGAGCTCAGGGTTGGTGGATGTTGTTTTCACCACAGTAAGCAATATTCCAGCTCTGTCACAGCAGCCTGTACATTATAGAGTCTAAACCATGCATGGGGGCACGGATGACCCAGTCGTCTAAGGCGTTGCAATTCGCTGTGCAGAGCTGCATCCCTTGGGCATGGTAGAAACTTATGATTGTGGGTTCAATTCCTGGTTCGCCCCGATTATGTTTCTAGGTTTACCAGCACCATAACCATGCTCGTGGGTTTCACTGGAGTGGTTAACGTCAGGCCTGCATCGCTTCAGGCTTTTCTCCCACATTCAGCTGACACGCTGTGATATAACTGGAATACTGTTAAAAGCGGCATTAACCCAACTTTTGGTTTTGTTTTGTTTGTTGTTTAACGCTGCACTCAGCAATATTACAGCTATATGACGGTGGTCTGTAAATAATCAAGTCTGGACCAGACAATCCAGTGATTGACATCATGAGCATCGATCCACGCAATTGGGATCAATGATATGCATCAACCAAGTCAGCGAGCCTGACCACCCGATCCCGTTAGTCGCCTTTTACGGCAAGCATGGGTTGCTGAAGATCCCGGATCTTCACAGGTCTCAACCCAACTCACTCACTTACTCAATCACGAAACCATGCACACCAGTGACTGAAGTATAAGCACCGACACACACCACTGGGGCACTTACCATGTTTTAGGACTGAAACATTGTCAGCCAAGTCACTCTCACAAAAAGCATAGGTTACAGAGGACCAAATTGTACTCTTGAATCGCCACAGGTAAAGGTTGCTTTACATGACAATCTTAACCTTACTGATTGTTTTTAAACATAGTTTGTGTGTATGAACATTTGCGAAATCAGAGAATCAGAGTTTGAGAATCAGTCTCTTGACAAACTGTTTGAATCGGCCTCTTTTGTCACCAATATTTTGGCGAACATTTGAGTGTTTTCACTTACTTGATTTTGACTTGTAAATGGTTGTCAAACATGTTGGTTGCCCACAAGCAATCAGATACTGCCAAAATGTCACATGAGATTTACTTTGTCGACTACAAAATGGCGTTGGCATTTGTGACAAGTGAATAGGAACAAAGTAACAACACCTCATATTTGTCTTGCGAAAACACGAGTTGGCAAACCTTTTGGATTTTGCAGACCTGTTTTCACGCTTATGTCGCTTGCGTGGAGGAAAGGAACCTGTCATTGATTATCTTGATCTGTCTGTTTCCAGGCTGGTACTGATATGAGCAAGACTATCTCTGAGCTAGAGCACCTGCGCCGAGAGAATCAGAGCCTGACTCTGAAGCTGGAGAACCAGAGTGCCGCCACTAACAACCGCGTGCAGCAGATGGGACAGAGTCTTCAGGACAACCAGGGCATGACCGGCATGCAGCTCGACAAGATGGAGCAGGTCATGGGCAAACTTAAGAAAGAGAACGAAGGTGAACATCATGGCGGACACCTCTGGCATGGAGTCGGCACTGAATGATGGACACATTTAATATAATTGTTGTCATTCTTATTATTAAAAGGGGTGTGACGATTCACTTACTTGACATAATGATACATATCGTATGCAAAATCTGGTCCTCCGTGCTAAATTGTGCTCCAAAATTGTCATATACATTTTGTGATATTTCAGTTGCAATGACATATACCGTATTCGACGTAATAAGCGCCCAGGGCGCTCTCAAAATTATAAATAGGGGGCTCTTATTAGAATATTATTTTGGTGGAAAAAACAGGTGAAAGATAAATTTCGTGGTTTATGCTGACAGCCTGAAATGTTTATGTACGACAGATATATTTTTCCAGAATTTAATTGCCCATAATTAAGGGTGCATATAACACATGATTGCGTATTATACGTGAATAAATAAGTCTTGTGTACAATGATCAATCGGAAGGGGTGCTAATTTGGATTGTTCACTAGCTAATATGTTAGCAATTATCACCATGGGCGCTTATTACGTTGAATACGGTATATTGCATTTATTACCAACATTTTTGCATAAAAGTTTTCATGTTCTATGTGATTCGGCTGATAAGAGGTTGTTGTAAACAGTGTTTGTGTTTAACTTTCATGACTAGTTTTTGGATACCTCTGATGTGTTGTTTTTGTCCCCCAACCAGCAATCAAGAATGGCAGTGCTAACCTGGAACTACAGATCCAGGCAAAGACGAAGGAGCTGCATGACAACAATGGTCGCCTGCAGAAGATGCAAGTGGAATTGAACAAAGCTGAGGCCATGGTTGGGGACAAGGAGAAGCAGGTCAACCAGCACCGCGACGAAATTGGAAAACTGAAAGTTCAGATTGAGCAGACAAACAACAAGGTAGTTGAACCATCCGGTCGAGTGAATGATGTGAGGCTAGCTGTTGCCTTTTGCTAATTGTGGATTTTTGGCATTTTTATTTTCTTGATTTCCATGGAAACAATTTGACTTAGTCTCAAAAGTGGGGGTAGGTGTCGTTTCCGGAGCATAACTTGACATCTGTGAAAGATTTTTCATCCAAACATGGTACATGTATTATCCAAGGGCTGAAGTTGTGCCTTTTGCTATTTAGAAATTTTTCAAAATGATATTTTTCCCTGATTCTAAGTTAGCTGAAATGGAAGTATGTGTCGTTTACGGAACAGAACTATAAAACTATTCAACATTTTCATCCAAACTTGGTACATGTTTTAATCAAGGGCCGAAGTGGTATTTTGCTCTTTAGGAATTTAATATGTTTTATAAAAAAAAATCCTGTTTCCATGGCAACATGTTTGACTTGTCTCGACCATATCTAAAACTAATAGGTATTCTTTTTTTAAACTGTGCACGCACAAAGACCAGGTTGTCAACTAGTGGCTTTTGCTATTTAGGGATGTTTAGAATTTATATTTTTTCATTTTCCATGGCAACAAGTTTGATTTTGATGTGTACCCGACATAGAAATACAAAGTTCTGAATCCCAATACCGTGGTATTGTTTTGCTAGGGCAATGACTACTCTTTATACGGACAGACATAGATAGAAATTCTTTCAACATGTTGGACTTATTGTAAAATAACAGTCAGATGGTTAATACTTTCAAATTTGTGAGGGCTACGGAGATATGTCATCTTCTGATGACTCTTGGACACGTTAGACTCTATTTAGATCTTACTTTAGTAAATCAATATATGGATCATACATGTAATAATGAACTTGTTTCTCTGTTTTGCAAAGGTCTTGGACCTAGAAACAAAGAGCAAGAAGCTGCAGCTGGAGGTGGAAACGACGCGCCATAACGCTGATGCTGCTCGGATATCACAGGAACAGAAACTGAAGGAGCGAGAGAAGGAGTTGAACAAGGATATAGCTCAACACATGGATGCTGCTCGGGCTGGGGAGAGACTGCTGGCCGAGACGAAGAATAAGATGCAGCAGGAGATCAAACAGGTGAAGGTCTTCTCGAGCATGTCATTATACTGAATACCGCTGTGATCAATGTGACTAACCTTATCTGTTTGACATAGTGTGAAGTGAATCTCGCCCAGCAAGTTCCCATAACTGAATAATTGTGGAGCCCATGTTTTGCTGAGGTGGTGGGGTAGCTTTGTCGTTAAAGTGTATGTTCTTGATGGCGAAGGCCTGGGTTCAATTCCAATCATGGGTCCCCATTCTCCCCTCACTCACCAATGTCTCTCTCCCAGCCCACCCCAACCCACCCCACCCCACCCCCACCGCTGCCATTAGATGGGGTAGATTGCTGAATATGATACTCTGACATGTCATTGGTGACAGTTCCCATTATGGAGGTGTGTAATGTCTGTCACAATATGGAGTGTGTTGTCTGTGCCAGGGCGAGGCGGAGCAGAACCGCCTGAAGTCTCAGTGTGAGAAGCTGGAGCAGGAGAAACAGCAGCTGCAGAAGGAGAAGAAGGACCTGACAGACAAGCTGGCGGCCATTGACCACGCCCTCAAGACACACGATGCCTCCATAGCAGCCATGCAGAAAACTGTTGATGAAGCAATCGCTGAAAAGGTCAGTCTTTCTTTTCAGTTTCAGAACTTTGTCACAGAGGTCTGTAAATAATCAAGTCTTTTCCAGACAGACCAGGAATTGACAGCTTATGTTTATAGTTTTAATAAGGTCCAATGTGTTTTGATGTTTATAGTTTTAAAAAGGCCCAATGTGTTTTGATGTTTATAGTTATAATAAGGCCCAATGTGTTTTGATGTTTATAGTTTTAATAAGGCCCAATGTGTTTTGATGTTTATAGTTTTAATAAGGCCCAATGTGTTTTGATGTTTATAGTTTTAATAAGGCCAAATGTGTTTTGATGTTTATAGTTTTAATAAGGCCCAATGTGTTTTGATGTTTATAGTTATAATAAGGCCCAATGTGTTTTGATGTTTATAGTTTTAATAAGGCCCAATGTGTTTTGATGTTTATAGTTATAATAAGGCCCAAAGTGTTTGATGTTTATAGTTTTAATAAGGCCCAATGTGTTTTGATGTTTATAGTTTTAATAAGGCCCAATGTGTTTTGATGTTTATAGTTTTAATAAGGCCCAATGTGTTTTGATGTTTATAGTTTTAATAAGGCCCAATGTGTTTTGTTGTAGAACAAGGTCCTCCGTGAGATGGAGGAGACGCAGAGAAAGATGGAGGCCACTCAGGAGCAGACAAACAAGATGAAGGAGACCACGGACCGAGTAGACCAGGCTAACAATGATCTGCGGGCCAAGATGATGGACAAGGATCTTGAGCTTGAGAGTGCTACTGCTGAGTGTGAACGTCTGGCTGCCAGGCTTGAGGCCGAGACTGGACAGATGCAGAAGAAGATGAAGGAGTTGGAGGCAGGAAAGGACGAAGCAGAGGCCGGCCTCTCCATGTCCAAGCTGGATGTTCTGAAACTTAACAAGCAGTTTGTGGACCTCAAGTCGGAGAAGCAGGGCGTGGAGCAGGCACTGGAGGAGAAGGAGAAGGAACTGGCTAAAATGACGGCCCAGAAATGTGAGATGGAGAGACTTCATGATGGCATGAAGGGGCAGCTCGACCATCAGGCTGACCGGTTTGACAAGCTTGCCCGTGATCTGACTGAGAAAGAAAATGAACTTAAGGACCTAACGAACAGTCTCTGTCAGCGTGATGCAGAGCTGCACAAGATGAAGAACCTGAACGATGAGAAGGATTTGACTCTTCAGAACAAAGCCTCCATGGTGGAATCCAGGGAACAAGAAATTCACAGACTTAAGGACTCACTCAAGGAAATGGATGAGCAAATGTCAGAAAGGAAGAAGGACTTTGATATGGAGATCAAGAATGCAAAGGATTCCGTGAACCAAGCCCAGCAGGACATTGGTCAGTTGCAGAAGGAGCTGACCTCTACCAAGCATGAGTGGTCAACACTGAGGACACAGGTGGAGGAACTGAAATCTCAGTTGGACCACCAACAACAGTGCCTTGCTGAACGGGACGAGGAGAATGGGTCACAAAAGAAAGAAATTGAGAAGTTGAACCAAGAGATTAAAGAGACCTGTCATTCTACAGAAGTAAGAGCCAAGTCCCTTCAGGAGGAAAAGAGCAAGCTTGAGAAGCACTATGAAGCTGTGTTGTGTGAAAAGGGGGAAGAAATGGAGTCTAAGGTGTCTGAAATGAATAAACTGATGCAAGAACTGGATAAGGTGAGGCACTGTTTCTCGGAACAGCAGAGGGAACATGACAAGTTGAAGTCCAAGCACAGGGAACTGAATGAAGAGAAGGACAATGTAGAGAAGACCTGTTCCGGCCTGGGTGAGCAGATCGAGGACCTGAACACCCAGATTTCTGACATCCAGACTGAACATCACACACAGATGCAGAATGTCAAGACCCAGTCTCAAACCATGCAGGACAGCTTTGACAGTAAGTGACAGCAGAGGCAAATGATCCCTTCTACTTATCTTGTTTATCAAAATCTTTTTACACTAATTTTCTGGTTCACAGTCTCAATAAGATTATTATTATACCCCCGACCTAAAAGTTATACGAAGGAATTCCGTCAATCCGTCCTTCCAAGGACATTTTGTGTGTGCCACCTATGCCTCGAAAACTACTGCATTGATTCTTTGCAAACATAGTGAACACTTGCTATATCAATAGGAGGTGCAAAGTTTGATTTCAATATTTGGATTTTCAGAAAAAGTACAGCTGTTTTACTTAAGCATTTGTGTGACCTAAATCTTGAAAATTACTGCTTGGATTCTTTTCAAATTTAACGAATAGCTTTCATACGAATAGAAGAGGTGCAGTGCAAAGTTTGATTTTGATATGTGGATTTTCTGAAAGAAATATGATTTGTTTCATGTTTTGAACTTAGAATGTGTTTTTTTTTACTTCAACATTTGTGCGACCTGTAACTTGAAAACTGCTTCATGGATTCTTTTCCAATTAGGGGCAGAGTTTCTATACCAATAGGAGAGATGCAGTGTAAAGTTTGATTTCGGGAAGTGGACTTTCTTTGAAGTCAGAAATATGTTGCAGTCTAAGTCGCGGGTATTAGTGAGCCCTGCTCACTATTTGCCATCAGTGTTATTCCAAATATATACCACATGAGCCTCAGTCTGGGCCAGGTAATCCAGTTGTTGATATTGTGAGCAATGTTTCAGGTAGTGTGGGTATGGTGACACTCAATAAACTAAGAAATCCAGGTGACCACCTGATCCAATACAGTGACCTTACGACAAGCAATCAAGTGCTGTGACCTATTCTAGCGGGGGTCGTCGGATAGACTAGTTGTCGCGTTCGCTCGTCACGCTGAAGACCCGGGTTCGATTCCTGACATGGGTACAATGTGTGAAGCCCATTTGTGGCGTCTCCCACCGTGATATTGCTGGAATATTGCTAAAAGCGGCGTAAAATGTCACTCACTCACCTATTCTAGCCTTGGGCCCCATGAGGGTATTTATATCATTAAGACATGAACTGTGGTATGTTAGTTTGTATACAATCACTTTTTTAAGTGACCTTTTTCCTTTTTGAAGAATATTTTTCAACATGGAGTTGGATGTTTCAGAACTAGAGGCAGAGCACAAGAGTGCCTGTGACAAGCTGTTGTCGGGAGACAACCGTATGACGGACCTGCAGGAGAATATGCAGGTGCTTGAACAGGAGAGGGAAGTCCTGGGGAAGAGGCTGGATCACTCCGAGAACACTATCAAGCAGTTGCAGGAGACACACAGGTACGGTCACCTTGTAACAGATGTTTTGTTCTCATTGACCCATAACTCCTGCCTGTGCGATGAATAGGTTATCATAACATTTGTTGTGTTGCAGTGAATGAGAAAAATGGATTTTTTATTCCATGTGAAGGAAACCAAGAGAAATGCTATGTGAAACATAAAAATTAATATATTAGGCTAAAAACATAATAGTCTTGGTTCTCAGGCACTGCCCACATCATCATAAAGTTCATTGTATGTTTTCTTTTTATTTCCATTTTCAAAAAAATATAAAAATCCTAATACTTAAACACAATGCACCAAAAAAAAAATGAAAATGGAAACAAAAACAAAACGTGCAATGAACTTTATGATGATGTGGGCAGTGCCTGAGAACCAAGACTAATATATTCTTTAGCCTTAGCTATGCATGATGAAATGTAATACAGTAAAAGTCTGGTGTAGGTAATGAAACTATCCATGTATCTAAACAGCCCTCATGATCCCCTTGTATCACAGTATATTTTGAAGATACTTCAGGAAATGCTGGCTGAATGTCTCTTTGTCCTGACTTTTACAATGTATGTTAATGGTTAAGCCTGATGATAAATTGTCTGACTTTGGTTAGATCAAGCAAGTTTTAATGTAAATTCCTTTCTGCAGCTCTCAGGATGTGACTATAGAGAAGTTAAAGGCAACTTTGGCTGAGAAGGAAGAGGCTCTTGATCTTCTCACTCGGGAGTTTGAGGCCAAAACCGGCACTCTCCAGCACCAGGACAACCAGCTCAGAGGTATGGTGGACACTTTCTACACTGTCGTGTACACTTGTGTTGTCTAGGCCATAACTATTGCAGTAATTATCATTCATTGTTTCCTTCCATGACAAAGTTGTTGTTGACATTAGGCCCATCATGAATACTCAAATAACCGGTTACGCTTTGATTAGAATTCCAAACCAGGTAAAAAATCGGCAGACTTGTTTTCATTATCCTAGTTTGATGTTAATAGTAATCATCGTCAGTTACATTTATGAAACTATTGATATAATTATTGTCACAATCAGATGTATCCACACTAGAATAATAACAAAAAGACACGTGATCCGCACAGTTTCAGACAGTCTATCAATGACGTAATCTGTTGCTTCCATATCACCGACAAACTCACTGCTGTCAAACACAGTGGAACATTACCCTGTATTGAATATAAAACAGTGAAATTTAACACGAAATCTATTTCATTGACTGTCTTGGTCATACAAAAATAAAATGCTAACATGCCTGAACAAAATATGGAAGTTATAACCAACTGCATACTTTACAAGTCCCTATGCGTGTACACATGACCAGTCTATCGAACCATAAGTTGTGTGGGTTTGCTGGCTGTATTGAAGTCAGTCAGGAATTATTGTGGAGCCAATTGTTTTGTGTGGACAGTTGTCCCTTGCACTGTAGATGTTAATAATATACTACTCAAAAGAAGTTAAGGATCACCTGATTCTTTCATATTACTATAGTTAATCTCTCATGTCATGACAGATTAACTTTACCATTATGAAAGAATCGGGTGATCCTTAACTTCTTTTGAGTAGTATATTTTGATAGCCTGAAATCAGATATGGAATGGTTTCAGTGAGAGCAGCAACCTGTTCCAGACTTTCAAACCGTGATGTCCTTAGTTGACGTGCTGTTAGATCATGCAGTGGTGTAGCTACAGCTTCATGAAAGTGACATATATTGTATTGCAAGGAACTCACGTTTCAGATTCACAAAGCCACTGGGAGGAGCAGGAGCGAAGACTGAGGGCCAGCTTGCAGGAGAAGAGTGAGGAGATGGCGGCCATGGGTCAGCATCTCATTCAGGTGGAGAAGGAACTGGGTGAGCTGAAGGAAGAGCACACCCGGCTCCTGGATTCGACACAGCAGAGCCAGGATCTCCAGGCGAGGAAGGGAGGAGAAATAGACTCGCTACAATCCAAGTTGACAGCTCAAGAGGCCGAGATGGCTGGGCTGGGAGAGAAGCTGTCTCAAAGTGAGACCAACTTTGAGACACTGAAATCACAACATGATCACCAGAAAGAACAGTATGAAGCCCAGTGTCAACAGCTGCAGAATCTGACTGAGATCATGACATCCAAGGGTGATGAATGGGAGAAGAATAAAAAGGAGCTCAGTGGATCTAACTCCAGCCTGTCGGAAGAAGTTGCAACTCTCAAATCTGAATGTGAAGATTTGAACAGGAAATTACAACAGGCGCAATCTGCTTTGTCCCAGAGAACAGCAGACATGGAGGAACTTCAGTCCCAACATACTGAGCTCCGTTCAGAATCTGAAAAGAACCTTGATACCATGTCTGAGGAGGAGCTTAGTCTGAAGGAGAAACTGAGGCAGATGGAAGATGAGAAGGAGAAATGTGACACTCTGTTGAAGCAGAAGGATTGTGATAAGGAAAACTTGGTGAAAGAGATGTCCGAAATGAAACAGCAGAATGAACAGATGCAGGCAAAGCTGGACATGATGCAGATGGACTTTGAAGACCAGGGTGATGATGTAGGGGATCTCACGGAAAAACTACAACAGGCTCAGCAGGGAGTGGAGGCTCTCAAAAAGACTGTAGAAGAAAAGATGTCTCAACTTGCCGAAAAGCAGAAAGAAATAATGGCATTATCGGAAGAACTGGAAAAATCCAAGCATGAGCTTTCTGCCATGACCAACACCGTTACTGAGATGAAACTTGAAGTTGAACAGCAGACATCCATTTCTCTGGAGAGGAAGTCCAGGATGGAAGAAGAGAGTCAAAATTTCTCTGAACTGTCAAACGAATGTGATTGTCTTAAGAAATGCTTGGATGAGGAAACAAGTAAGAACATTGATAATCAAAAGGAAATTGAGAAATTGAACAACTGCCTAAGTGACATGGAAGGCAAACTAGCTGTAATGAAGAGTCAGATGGATGTAAAGGAAGAGACTGTCCGTGATCTGGAAGTGAAATGTGCCAGAATGTCAGAGACTGATGACGTGACAAGAAAAGAGCTTCAGGAGAAGGAACAGCTGGTCGTTAAACAGAAGGATTCCCTGACGTCGCTGGAAGAAAAGCTGAAGGTGCTTGTCTCCGAAAAGGAACAACAATCTGCTGAACTTGGGCAGGAACTCCAAACTCTAAAAGGCAAGTGGGATTCTCAGGAAGAAGTGCTTGATGGTAAACAGGAAGAACTGAGCACATTGCAAGGTCATCACAGTGAGCTCCAAGATGTTTTGCAGAAGACAAAAGATGGTTTGAAACAGAAAAACGAAGAATTAGAGAAAGTCTCTAAGGAATGTGACCGACTTCAACAGTGCCTTGACAAGGCACAGACTGACATGGAAGAGAAGGACAAATCAATGCAGACAATGAAAGATTCGGTTACATCACTAGAAAGTAAACTTGCACAGTATGCCAAGGCCAAAGAGGAAGAAGGTAGCAGGTTAGATCAGGAGTCGAACACTCTCAAATCAAACATGGAAATGCTTCAGATGGATCTTGAAGACAAAGATGCCTGTATTGAGGACCTCACTATGAAAGTCAATAACCTGCAGGAGACAGTAGATGTACTGAAGAAAGATCATGATACACTGAGTATAAGTAACAAACAGCTCCAGGCACAGAGAGACAAGATGGCTGGAGATCTGGAAGAAAGACAGTCGGAAGTTATACAGCTTGCTGCCAGTGTGGAAGAATGTGCCCAAAAAGCTGGAAATGTCAAAGAAGAACTGCATGGTAAGGTGGCTGCCATCGAGGAACAGAAGGCTCAACTCTTGGCAGAACAAAAGGACATCATCAACAAAATGGAAAAACTGGAAAATGACCTCAGTGCTAAAGAGGAACAGATTTCAGAGAAGGAATTGCAACTTGAGAATATAAGAATTGAACACAGTGAAACATTGAAAAGGTTGTCAGACACTGATCTCACATTGTCTGAGTTGAAGAAGCAGATGTCTGATTCAGGAATGTCATTAGAGAGAACATCAGAGGAAAGAAACACCCTTCTCGAGAAGGTCACTGATCTGGAGAGTGACAGGTCATCACAAGCAGCCAATATTACAGCCTTAGAAAGGAGCATCGATGATAAGCTGAGCGAGATCTGTAATTTGAGAGCTGTGCTTGATGGCAAAGAAAAGAGCGAGGAAGATTTGAAGACTGAGATTAAGTCCTTGGAAGAAGAAATGGCTCAAAGTAGAAGGTCATTCGATGATGACCTGCATGAGAAAGCATCTGCCATTCAAAAACTTGAAGAGAAACTTTCTACACTCGAAGATACTTTGAAGGATGCAAATCATGAAATTAAGGCATTGAAATCAGCAAAGGAGTGTCTAGACGAAGCAGCAGACACTGCAGAAGACAATCACAAGGCTAAATACCAGAGACTTGACACGGAGAAGAGTCAGCTGGAGTGTCGTCTTAAAGAAGCAGAACTGAAAGAGGTTGAGCTGAGAGCAGAAATTAACACTGCTCAGGCTGCCCTTGAGCAAGAGCAGATTCAGAGGCAAGAGCTGGAGAAAGAGCATGACTCTAACATGGCCAACAAGGGCAAGGAGCAGGAAAAGATGCAGCAAGCTCTGAAAGCACAAGAAACAAGAATAGATGAACTTCTGGCTGATATATCCACTAAAGATGGAAAACTGTCAGAACTTGAGCAGAAAGTTCTTCAGGAAGCAGATCTCCAGGGTTACTACATGACAAAATATGAAACAGACACTGAAAGAAATTCGGCCAAAATGCAAGAAATGGAACAAACTCTGTCTTCACTTGAAAACAAACTGAGTGACAGTGAGGGCAGCAGGTTGCTGTTGGAGAGAGATAGTTATGACCAGCTTAATCAAAAGGAAACTGAGTTGAAAGAAATGAAAGCAAAACTGGAAACTGAAGAGAACAGAACAAGGAACACTGAACTGCAAAAGGAAGAAGAAATCAAAATACTGAAGAATGATTTGGAATCCAAAAGGGAAGAGGTTCAGTTGGAACTTGAAGTATCAGCTAAGAAGCAGTCTGATCTTGAAACTGAGCTTGAATCTCTCAGGAAGCAATATCAGAATCTGCAAGATGCCCACAACAATGCCTCTGTTAAAGGTGCCTCGAACATTGCTGAAGTGCAGCAGTCCTTGGACTCTCTGCAGGCGGTCAAGGAAGGACTTGAGCAAGAGAAGGAGAAACTGTCTGAGGACCTGGAGCAGCTGCAGCAGCAGCTGGAGCAGAAGGATCACAGCTTGACGAAGCTGCAGACAGAAGTGGATAACACAAACTTGCTGATGAACAAGACCGAGACAGACTACCTAAGTGAAAAGCAGATGCTCGAGTCTAAACTTGCTGACATTACTTCTGAGTGTGATCAATTGCAACAAGATCTGAAACATGCTGAAATGAAGATTGAAGCTTTCACATCTGCTGACAAAGAGAAGGAGGGTGAGTTGTTGACCAAGGTGTCGAAACTCCAGCAACTAGAAGATGAAATGGTTGTTGTTAAAGAAGAAGTGTTGGTGTTAACTTCCAAGGTTGAAAGTCTTGAAGCCGAAACAGAATCATTGAAAGAACAAAACTCAAAATTAAATGCTGAACTGAAAGACTCATTAACGTCAAGCGCTCTACTTGAAAAGAAGTTAGCAGATTCTCAAGGTGACCTTGAAACACTGGAGAGGACCTATGAAGAAGCAAGTGCTAAACTAGAGGGGAAAAACTCTGATTTGACAGAACGGTCCAGTGAGATGAAAACACTCACGTCTGAAAGGGATCACCTGAAAATTCAAGTTGAGAGCACAGAGAAACATCTTGAAGAGGTACAAGCTGAGTACAAAGATGCTATTCAAGAGTTCAACACAGAAAAGGCATCCTTGGCTGACAAACTGGAGGAGCAGAAACAGCAGGCTGTTGACCTACAGACTCGGATACAGTCCCACAACGCAGAGAAGGACATGTTGGAAAACAAGGTCTTGGATCTAGAAGAACAGGTCAAGGCCGTCTCAGCAGAGAACTCGCAACTAGCAGCTGCAGCTGATACATCAAACGAACTTGCCAAACACAACAAGTCGAAGGAAGAAGAAGCTGCAGTTGTGATGAAGTCACTGACTACTGAACTTGAACATTTAAAATCTTCTGTTGAAAGTCTAGAGCAGGAGAAGATTGTACTTGAAGATAAGTGCTCAACATCTGAATCCTGTGCACTGGAAAAAGAGGAACAGATTAAGGCAATGACTGCAGATTTGAAGAATGTGAGCAAGAAAGTTGAAGAAAGCAATGCTACTGTTGACAGACTTAGGACTGACATTGATAGTTTGAACAAGACCATTGCTGACATGGAACTGTCATCGGAGGAGCTGAAGTCTGGGATTCAGCAGGAGAAAGAAAATGTACGATTAAAAGAACTTGAAAAATCTGACCTTGAGAAGAAAGTTACTCAACTAGAAATGAGAATAGAAGAATTTGCAAGTGAATCAAATGATTCATCGACAATGATGAAAGATATCCTAGAAGATAAGACCTCTCAGATCAATACACTCTCTGAAGACATCTGTAATGCAAGGACTGACATTGAAGCTCTAAAGACAGAATTGAAACACAAAGGGGCCTCCCTTGAAATGAAAGAGAAAGAGGTTTTGAGTACTCAAGAAGAACTGTTGATCGCAGAAAACAACAAACAGTCCTTTGAGGAACAGGTGACAACTCTTCAGGGGGAGAAGGCTGCCCTCCAGGATCAGGCGCAGAGACTAGAGTCCACCATTAGAGAGATGGAAAGCAGTCAGACTCGCATGGAGGAAGAGATGCAGGGAACGCAGTCGGCACTGCAGAGCACACAAACCTTCTCCGACACCATACAGGAGCAGGTGGACCAGCTCACCCAAGACCGGAGTACTATGCAGGATAGTGTGGTCAAACTGAAAGCTGAGAAGGCCGATTTAGAAGCCAGACTTGAGGCATCCAATCAGGAGACTGAGGACCTGAAGCTTCATCTCCAGCAAGTCAGTGAGCAGAAGACAGAATCTGTTGACAAGTTGAGTGAGGAGGCTGCCAGTTGCAAAGAAGAAATGGATCTTTTGAGAAAACAGAAAACAGACCTTGAGGCATCCACTAGAACTTTGATGGAGCAAGTTGAAGAACTTGAGAAACAACTTGCAGACATCAAGAGCAGTAGCCATGAGGAAAAGGAAAATCGTTCTGAAGAAATTGAAAAGATGTGTGAATCTATGAAGAAACTCAATGAGGAGTTATTGCAGAAGGAAACAGAATTAGAAAATGCTTGTAAATGTACCTCTGTGTTGGAAGAGAAATTGAAAGCTTCAGAAACACAAAATTGTCAACTAAGAGCTGAAGTTGATGCTAAGATGGCAGATCTTGATGCCATCATTGATGAAAGAGATCACATGTGTAACAAAGTGAAGTCACTTGAGAATGAACTACAGATGTTAGAGACAAAGTCCAGCTCCATAAATAGTGAACTGGCAAAAAGAATAGAAGAATTTGATATCGTGAGTGTTGAGAGGATGGAACTTCAAGAGTCTCTGAAAACTCTCACCAGTGAGAAAGAAGAACTGGATAGGAAGCTTGACATACAACTCACTTTCCTAGAAACAGCTAAAGAGACGATTGAGGAACTACAGGGTGCCTTGGATTCGCAGTCACTCAGTGAAGCAGAGCACCAAATGCAGGAAGACACTTTCAAGGGGGATATATCAAGACTTGAAAAAGATAAAGAATTAATAGAGAAGGAAAAGAAAGAGCTAGAGGAGAAGGTCAAAGATCTGTTGGAAGAAAAGTCTAAGTTTGAGGCGGACAATGAATCATTCATGTCTGCTAACTGTCAGATGAAGGATCAGGTGAACAGTGCAGAGATGGAAATGGCGGCACTGAGAGAGGGATGCCTGAAGCTGCAGGACTTCATGAAGAAGAATGAAAAGGACAGCAGCAAGAGCAGCGAGAAGCTTCAGGAGACAGAGAAGCTGCTCCAGGTGGCGCACGCCAAGGTGGAGGAGCTAGAGGATCACGCCAAGACGCTCTCTCAGGACAAGTCTGAGCTGAAGGTGCAGCTGGACACTGTGCTGAAGGAGAAGAGTAGTGCAGAGGCTGACATTGACATGTTCAAAGACGCCATGGAGTCCATGGAGATGGAGGTCTCCTCTCTGGAAATGGAGAAGGCTAACTTCAAGACAGAAAGTGAAAGTTTGAAGAAAGAATGTGATGAACTAGTTTGGAAACTTGGTGAGATGAAAAAGGAACTGGAGAAATTGGAAAGTACGAGAGATGCTGTGGATGAGAAAACTGAAGCTGATTTGCAAAAATTCCGGACTGACAATGAGAGATTGAATGTGTGTGTGGAATCACTGAATGCTGAAATAATGGAGAACCAGGAAAGGTATAAGAAGATTTGTGATAGTGAGAATGGATTAAGAGATGATAATAGAAATCTTAAGACTAAAGTGATGTCACTTGAAAAAGATCTTGAAACAGAAAAATTGAAGTGTCAGTCAGTGGCTGAGGAAATTTCGTCTTTAAAACAAAATGTTGACGAAATACAAACAGTTAAATCTCAGGTGGAGAAGAAGTACAGTGCTCTCAGCAAAGAAAATGAAGATCTGCTGAGTCAGTTCCTTGCAATAGAAGAAAGAACTGGACAACTGTCCAATGAGAAAAGTGCACTCATACTTGAGCTGAAGCAAGAATCAGAGAAGGTAAAGAGGCTTGAGTGTGACCTCCAGAAAGTGAACCAGTCTCTTCTCAACAGCGAGAAAAAGAAGGAGGAAGCAGAGGACAGTGTGTCGGCCATTGAGATGGAACTTGCGGGAATAACGTCGGAGCGCGATGCTCTCCAGAAGCGGGCAGAGTCCAGTGTGGAGATGCAGGAGAAGGAGCAGGCTGAGCTGAAGGACAGGCTGGAGAAGTCGGAGAAGGAGCTGCAGAATGTCCTCCAGAAGCTGGGGGATGCAGCACACATGGCTGACAAGTATAAGGTAACGACTCTCGCTTGGCATGATCCAGATATATACATGTGTTTGTTCCTGTTGCCGTGTCCACTGTAATGGCCATCACAGTGGATGGAGGTTTACACTACTGACAAGAATGTGTCAAAGATATAACTATGGAGCTAGGAGTTCTTCCCATAATGTCACCCTTCCAGGGACTAACCCATCCAAGTCCCATTTGGTAATGCCCATTCATTGACTAGTATACTAGACAATAACTCACAGTTTGTACCAGTTAGCCAGTAAGTTTACTCAGATCATTTCTAAGGTAAAAAAACCACAATAAATCAGACTTACTGATGCTTTTTTTGTATGTAAATTCTTTTGTTTGGAATGATAAAATTCAAATATAGACTATAAGAGGTCAACACCCGAAAAGAGCAATATTGATCGGAGATGAAATAACCTGAGATGAAGTGAAAAGGCAGATTCAACTTGTCAAACTATGTTAGCTACAATATCGTCAGGAGGTTCCAACAGACGGAGATATCTAATTGCCTAAGGTTTGGGGAATAATTCACATTGTATTTTGACTAACTCGTGTCAGTACTGTAAAGTATCTGACCTCACTTGGAGTCAGTATGCGTTTCTGTCAAATGACATGTGACCGCTTTTCAGCCAATGAATATGGCAGAAATCTTTGCATTATATCACAAAACATTTTACTACATTAATATTAACACATGTATCTTGAAACAGTGGCTGGGTTTTCACAAGGCTTATGGTGTATGGTAGTTAATTGACCCTACAGTTGTACATGTGCCTTTCATACCGTCGTCCTGACTAACCTCATCATGGCCTTGATCAGGTGGAGTTGGTGAGTCTGAAGGCTGAGGTGGCGGCTGCAGAGAAGAAAGTGAGTCAGAAGGAGAGTGATCTGGAAAGTTTGATGTCCAAACATCTGGAGGCTGAGAAGCAAGCAGAACAGAGACTTGCAGACTCCGAGGTCATGTGGGAGGGAAAGATCGCAAACCATGTCGAGCAGGTACATAAATAGTAGCTGGGATTATTGGGTGGGGATTATTAGAGACAATGAGTACTGTATTTGCTTTCATGTAAAAAGTGCATTATTGAAAATGCTTGAATCTGCTGATTGGGGTTTGAATCCCTGATAGTTGGTCGGCATCATTGATCAAAGTGGTAAAACATTACAAATGATTCCAGGGTATTTGATTGCCTAACCAAGCAACTTTTTTTAAACAATATATTTCTGGAAACCAAAAAAAAACATCAGGCCATGCACCCTAACAGACTACCGTACTGTTTCTTGATTGGTCAATAATAGAATGGGCAGGACTTGTGTTGCACCATTGTACTGAACGTTGTTGCTGGCCTTGTATTGGTGTCTTCATTCTATTGTTTGTGTGAATGATTAAGTAAGCAGTCGTATGTTGATGTATTATTTAAAAGAATTGACATCAATATTTTTTGCCAAAAACAGTTTACACTTCAATGATTTTTGCGTCTATGGAGGTAAAAGTGTCAAAATAAATGGTGTCGATACTGTGTTAATATGTGTATCTGAAATACGCAAAGTGTGCACACCGGTGATACATATATAAATGCAAAAACATATTGAAGTCAATTCTGAATTAACTCGGACATGTAATACTTTGTTGAACCTGATGTGCTGATAACCGGGCTGCCATGTGTTTCAGCATGAGAGCAAGGTGACCAGTTTGGAGGGGGAGCTGGAGCGAGTGAGGGCTGCCCTGGGGGAGAGGGAGGAGCTGCTGAGGGGGGTCAGGTCAACCCTGGGGGAAACACAGACAGACTTGGATGGACTCCGGACGTCGCTGCAGGAGAGGGAAGGGGAGCTTGAGAGTGTAAGGAAATCCCTTGAGAACAAAGACAGGGAGCTCCTGAAGGCTCGGGAACAGCTGAGCTCTGGTGGAGGACCTTCCAGCAACACAGAGGTGGGTGGTGTGCCTGATGTGCCAGGGCAACATGTGATGATCCGGGGTAGAATAGGGCTTCAGCAACCCATGCTTGCCGGCCTGTGAAGATCCGGGGTAGAATAGGGCTTCAGCAACCCATGCTTGCCGTAAAAGGCGACTATACATGTCATAAGAGGAGACTAACGGTATCAGGTTGTCAGGCTCGTTGACTTGGTGGCATGTCATCGTATTCCAATTGCGTAGGTCGATGCTCATGATGTCAATCACTGGATTGTCTGGTTCAGACTTTATTATTTACAGACTGCTGTCATATAGTTGGAATAATGCTGAATGCGGCGTTAAACAACAAACAAACATTAAGGAATTCACATGCACTTTTATCATTGGTCAGTTTGTCTTGAAATGGTGTTAGTTTGAAAGTATGATAAAATATGTCAATATGTCACAATTTTATTAACATGTGTCATAAAGCTAACCATATGTTATATCGATTTTGTTTACAACCAAATACTCCCACGTGGGGATTCAAGAACAGAATTAGGTACTGTGTTTGTCACAACAGGCGACTATAGTCCACACTGGGTGCAAATTAATGAATGGTAGATGGTGAAAGTGTGTCATTATCCCTGGACAGTATTGATTCAGGTGACACTTTCAATCTCTAACTAGCCTGTTCCAGGCATGGTCACACTACACGCTGGCTGGCAAGTAGCTGGAATATGTCTAGAATATTTTCATTCACTTCACAAACTTTTAACCATGTTACTTTTCAGATGTTGCAGAAGTGGGAAAGCCAGTGTTCTAATCTACAATCGCAGTTGTCGGCAGAAAAGATGAAGGTGAAACGCCTCACTGATCAGCTGAAGAAGGTGAAAGCTCAGACAGAAGATGCTGGCTCACAGGTATAAAGCATAATTAAGCAGGCTTAAGACTTGAAATGTTCATGGATGGCAGCCGCTGAGGCTTAGGAACTGGCACAAGGCCTACAATACCTCACATCCAAATACTCAATAATTTCAGCATTTCAATGGATTAGTAGCAATTAGTATGTCTTCATGTGTACATTCTCTCAAGAACAGACGGGTTCAAGAGTTTAGTCTGCTTCCTCACCATGGCATCTACTGTTCTTTCATTGGGTACAGGTGACCCTGTTGTCTAAGGTTCAGAAATTTGCTATGCAGAGTTTTGTCCCTCAGCCATGATAGGATCTGCTAGTCATGTATTTGAACCCGAAACTCACCAGATTTATTATCCTTGGTCTGTCAGCACCATGCACGTGAGTTTCACAAAAGTAAATATCTGTGACCTGCATTACCCTGGGGTGATCTCCAACATAAAGTTGACAAAGTGACACGGAAATACTGTTAAAGGTGACACTAAGCCAAACCATACATTTACATGTATGACGTCTGGGGCACATTGTCGAGGCAGTTTGTTCAGCCATTTTGATAATCGTTGGATGGGAATGTGACAGTCTTGAAACAACAGCACTAGAAATAAGGTGACTAGGTTCACATTCTTTTCAATGTTTTGTCATGTTTTTATCATATGTTTCTTCACTTCCTGTGACCATGAGGCTCAGTCAGGTCTGGTTTGTGTTGGCAGACGCTGCAGGAGAAGGTGGATGAGCTATCAAGTCAGCTGGAAGGACACATACAGAATGAAAAGGAGTCGTGTCGGAAGCAGTTTGCCCTTGTGACCGAGAACAACAAGCTGAAGGCTGACTGTGCCAGACAGAAGGATCTCATCTCATCCATGGGTATGTTATCACAGGGAGATGGGAAGGGGGTGAAGGCTATCCTTATATAGTGTGTGTATCTCACTCTGTGACCTATGTTTTGTACAACTTATTTCAACTTATTTGTGTGTTATTATTATATATATTTACTCATCATAGAAGTCTGTGTAAAACCTGTTGAGTCAACTAGCCCAAACTCAAGCAACATTTTGAAATTTTATTGTTATATGCACTATTATGAGCTGATCTTCTGGACCAAACAGATTTATACTAGACTTGGGTTTCCATCTAGTGGCTGAGGTCACAAACTGATATGTTTGCAGATGTTAAAACCATGTAAGAAGATAAGGAGGGTGTTGGGGTCCTTGAGTTTGTGTCTGATGCCCATCATGGGATTGGCCCTCAGTTGTCTTACTGATGGGGATTTGCTGGTCACAAAGGCTGCTAGGTGTGAATATATGTGCATTGGTGACAGGAGCATAATGGGTCAAGATGTAGATGTGATGTTGCTGAGTGTTCCTGGTGAGTGAGTACCAGGTTTGTCGTCAAATGACAGAGAAATGGGATTTCATGCAATCTCTCTCCTCTTCAGCAATTGCAATGAAGAGCAAGACCATGAGCATCAAGCAGGTGGCGGTGGAAGACCGGAGCAAGATGCCTGACAGTGTGCAGAAGTCAACTGAAACCATGCCTAATGAGGCAATGGTTCCTGCAGCAAATGCAGATATGACCACACCAGACCAAAAACATAATAACACTCGAAACATTGGTCTTAATTCTACAGAGAATGAGAGAAAAACACGACTCAGGACAATAAAGGCTCCAAGTGTAACCAGAAAATGTGCTTCGAGAGAGGTGACTCCTAATTCTAAAGATGTGTCGCAAACAGAGACATCCGAGGTTCCGTGTAAAACAAGAAAATGTACGCCAACAGAGACTAATCCATCCAACAAGTTAGAAAAGAGGTCAAGGTTGCAGAAAATGCCAGCACCAAGTGTGGTGAAAAAATGTGCCTCAAGGGAGGTAACCCCGAACAAACTGTGTACAGACCCAGCACCATCTGACAGATGTGCTTCCAAACAAAAGACTCCTGAGTCTAGAGACACAAGCAGCCAGCTGACGGTCAAGAGGACTTCACTGCCTAAGCGGAAGAGTGATCAAAGCGAAGATGTAATTGCACCGAAAAGACGCAAGGAAGGACCAAGTCAAGACAAGCTTGATGCACCAGGTAACATTTAGTGGTGGGACGATACAACGATGCATCAATGGATCGCGATATTTTACTATCACAGTCTCACACTAAGTACAAAATATCGATTCATACCTTAAATGTTTACTTTAATGGCTGTTACACCAAACACTAATTAGTAGTGAACAAGTAAATATTTTCATCTGTTGTGTCATATTTGACACTGCCAGCTGTAAATCGTCAGTGTGCCAGGTATTTGACTATCCTGTCTATGAAAAAGGTGGCTTACACACCACAGATAAGAGCACTTACAAGTATCATGATACGTATCGGATTGTGAACAAGGTATCGTGATGCGTATCAGGTTGCACAGTAGGTGTATCGTCCCAGCCCTAGTAACAATAGGCTTTTAAAACAAAACAGGACAGGACAGATTCTCACTTGTCAGACAAAGTGAACATATCATTAAGCAGGTTATTTCTGGAAACTAACAAATGATAAAAACAGTTCTCGCTTGCTCACTCCTCAATATAAGGAACCTATAGCTTAAACTTTAACATATCTGATCATGTTCACGACAATACCAGTTTTATGTTCTATGTGCAACAGCTACTTATGCCAAAGTGAATAATTCGAATAATTTGTCATAGTTGTGTATGTGAGGTTTACATGTCAGATGTGTTTTTGTTGGGTTGTCAGGGGCCCGCGTAAGTCTAACGCGTAGTCGTAAGTCTATGTTAAAGTATGGGAGCTAGGATCACCTTAGCGCCACTATCTCTTTGTGGAACATAGGGCGGTGGGGTAGCCCAGTGGTTAAAGCATTCGCTTGTCACGCCGAAGACCCGGGTTCGATTCCCGACATGGGTACAATGTGTGAAGCCCATTTCTGGTGTCCCCCGCCTTGATATTGCTGGAATATTGCTAAAAGCGGCGTAAAATCAAACTCACTCACTCACTCACTCACTCTTAGTGGATGAACCCCTGGATCAGTACTGTCATGTGGTAGTCACAAGACTTTATGAAATACATTCTTTCTTCAATTTTATTCAACTACAACTTGTTTTTCAGATGTAACACCTAAAACTGCTGACAGTGGAGACGTTAAAACAGCAGCTAAAAGGAGCTTACTATCTTCTCGAATTCGGCCAAGAAGTCAGCTGCCCCGATCAGGTCCATCAGCACCAACAACAGAACCTACATCTGAACCTCCGGCCTCGTCATCATCTACAACTTCTGGTCTCCCTCGTACCATGATGACAAGGAGACAGAGCAAGATAGAAATCAAGGTAGAATATTTTCAGGCGTCACTTGTCCACACTTTTCACATAATGTCTGTCATGTTAGCCTTGTACATATTTCACGTCTACTTGTTCCTTCAAATATAGAAGTCTCTGGTAGAGCGTAACTTTATGATTACTAGATGTAAACTAAACATCAGCTTTGAATGAAACTAAATGGAAACAGTTTATTGACATTGTTGAAGCTACACAATGGCACATGTTCCGAAGGAAACCGTTATGGATATCACTCGCATTTCAGGCATAACTTGATACAAGCCCTTTCTTGATAATCTCAGATGTTCACAACTGATTACTTAATATTGACATGCCCAATCATTCTTGTGACTTTCTTCCAGGCACCAATAGCAGTCAAGCCCCTTGGCTCGATCACAAACAGCCCTCAGAAGAAGCCTCCTTCTGCTCTCCAAGAGCCACCTAAACGAGTCAGCACCCTCAGCCTCAACAAAAGTCCAGAACTGAAGCACCTGCGGCGTACGCGGCAGCAGAAACAACATGAGCCACACAGTGAACAGCAGGGTGGAGACGGGGAACCCAAGAAAGACTGCAAAGTGCAGTAGTTGTCACAATAACAGAAAACACAGCTGCAAGGTGCAGAGGTTACTGCAATTACAGATAACAAAGACTGCATATGCTGCTGTTATCACAAGTAACAGATCATCTGTTATATTCCTATTACGTACAAGGTCCCCGGACGCTGGCAGGAACAGGACAGAAACATTCTCTTCATTCCAGACCTGATTCTATTCATTCCTATTAAACCATTGAATACTCCCACCCCCATCATTTGGTGCACCCATTGCGGCTAGTCCCTCCTACAGCAGTAACCCCTTCCCGGTGATGTAACAGAAAACAGGATGACTCCAGCAAATATTACGCCAAGGTTGAGGTGAACGGCCTGGAACTAGAGCAGACTCGATGCTGCTGGTGTGCCCAGTGTCGACACAATGTTATCATTGTCCAAACATCATGATAGAGAGTGGACCATTCACATATATTTCTTGCCAAATATGTCAGCATTAAAATATATAACTGTATCATCATCATTTCATCATGGTATGTGGAGATGCACATTTGTTTTCATCACTCATTGATGAAGAAATTATGACCTAAATACATATTGTCCTGGGTTTTTTAATATTCATTTCATCACCATATAGACTGACGACAAATGTTATAGCATTTAAGTAATCATATTTGTTCTTGAGGCTGAAAATAGTGTATCAAATTCATTTCATTTATTAACACTAGTTTTATTTCATGTTAATAGCTTTCAAGTAAGCAGCATCTCCCTTGCTATAACCATGTGGTGATCCTAGAGCAGTATAGTTCCACTTCACCCAGCACATCGTACATCTTACTAAAATCTGCAGGCTGCCGTGTAGCGGAAATACTGCTGACTGAGGTTAACACCTTGTTGCTGTGTAACCTGGCAGCCAATACTGTTAACATACTGTAAGCATACTGTTAGCATACTGTTAGCATACTGTAAGCATATGTTCATGAAATGTTTACTTTTAATAGTTTCCCGTCACATCCTATTTTTATGCTCACCCCATGGTTTCCCATCTCGAGTTTTACTGTTCACTAGATATTTAGGATATGGTGTATATTTCAATACTTAAGTTTTTATGCAATTTTTATGCACTGTGTACATTCAACTTCTTGTCCATACGTCGTGTCTCGTGTATAAAAAGAAGGATATTTATTTTGTTCTGTACATATATACATAATAACACCTTTACTTATATAACTCTTTCATATCAGTAAGATTATAAGAGTTATCAAATATTCAGTTGTTATAGCTTCCTACTTCACACCTGAATTCTACGTCAAAGAGTTGTTTCCCTTTGCCCATGACCCCGAGCTCCTGTCTCACAGCCTGTATATCATGTATATATACAATGTATCTGTATCTGCACCCGTTGTACATGCCTACACTAATGTAACATCTATGTCATAAACATTCATCATGATCTACGTTGTTTTTGTCTCTGTCAGGCTCACACCAGTTTGGTCTGCCTCCAATCCGCCAATAATAACATGTTAACAGGTTATCTTACATTGCTGTTCACAGGAAACTGTAGCTGTCTTAAAATATGTATTTTCAGAACTCACTTTTCTTTCTTTGTTTCACATGGTTATGAGAATTAATATTTTTTGTACAGCTACAAATTTCTGTGGTGAAAACAAAAGGTTGCATGGAATGACAGCTTAGCTAAAGTCTAGAAAATACTCGACAAGGTACAGTTTCTTTTGTATACTGAAAGACTTTGAAAATGCATGGTTGTTTATGACTCTTGATTTGGAACTCAGACAACATTATTCCATTGTTGCATGGCTTCAGTCCTCACTACCACACACCCATTTCTTTCTTTTTTCACCTGTCAGTTCGCTGAAAATAATGACAGGGATGTGCTTCAAGCCAAATCCATACCAATATAGCCCCATTCAAATACATGAATGATAGTTCCTTCACATTTAAGAAGGGTTTCATTGCAATACACATCCTATGCTTCACAATTTGTATAACACACAATAGTCAAGTCATACTAAACATGTTGGCAAGGGTGTTAACTGAAAGTCTGTAGAGAACTAGGGTCTCAACCAGGTTAACCAACCTTGTACTATAGATAATGTATTTGGCCCCTACAAGAGTGCATGTACATGCAGTGGGGTGCTTAGGTTTAATATTCACACAGGAATGCCAGAGTTTGCCTTGGTCAGTTCAAACCATGACAATCTAAAATTGATCCAGCATCAGTGCTTCCCTTTGATGTAACGGACGATGTGCTTGGTATTTGAACATGCGGGTGTAAAAGAATAAATCTTGTTCGAATTATTTTAGTAAAACTTGTGATGCGTAAAGCACCATTCTCACGTGAGTAATGAGATATAACTCGTTTCAAACATCTTCAAAAACAGACGTCATAAATCAAACGCGCATCATTGGTCATTGACAGGTGTCATCGCCTAAGAGACAATAAGTCACTTTCTGTATATATATGCGCTCCTGGTGAAACAATGCCGATGTCAACAATTGGCTCGGCAGTACCCGAGGGCATGCGTCGAGACACTGGTCACGTGATGAAAATATTGAATCAATTTGACAATAAAAGGTCGTTGTAAAGATTGCTAATTCAGTGATATATTGGTAGCTCTTCTGACAATGTATACTGTGCCTGGTTTCAACACTATTCTTGACCCATCGCGGCGAGCAGGAATGTCTGGCAAAGATATTTCCACTACTCGTGTTATACATAATAAGAGGTAAGATTAATCATGTTCATTTCAAACTGTCAGTTCATGTTTGCAGACACGTGCAGCATATCCGTGAAGTTTAATGTAAAGTGATTGACTGGAACACGGTTTAGTTATTAAATGTCATACCGTGTACAGAGATACACAAGTCAAAGGGATTTATTTGTCTTCCATTACATGTGAATCCCGTGGGTTGTAGTGAAGACCGATTCCGCACACAATTTCATAAATATATTCCCAAAATTATTCATGATCCCTATCTTTCTTTCTTCAGTTCTTTGAACGGCATTTAGAAGTGATACACTTAAGGATGAGAATTTATGGATGTCAACTTCTTTATTGTGAGGATCACAACGTTTCGGTATATATACTTACTCCATCAGGTGAATAATGAAGGAGTAAGACCATTCACCCGATGAAGGGGTAAGCATATACTCCGAAACGTATTCCTCATAATAAAGAAGTTGACATCCATAAATTCCCCTCTATTCTTTGTTTAGCATATCTAGAATCACCTTTTTGTCGGTATTTACAAGATGCTATTCCATATCATGTGACTGGTTATACATAAGTCATGGTCAAGAGACGAGAGGTGAGTTCAGGTGAAATGTGGTTAACGTCACTTTCCAAATTATTGTACTTATATAGGGAGTGTGTGTGTGTGTGTGTGTGTGTGTGTGTGTGTGTGTGTGTGTGTGTGGTTGTTTGATCTATTCTCGACAAATGTCGGTTTCATAGTGTTAGCCCAGTGAGACACTATGCCGCAGTTTAACACGGATACCCTACTCAGACACGTATACTGACCCCGAGCCGACCAGCCCTTGTTTTAGCCCCGTAATGCCGAGCGCCAGGCAGGTTGAAAACCAAAGACCATCTTTTAACGTCGTTTGGTATGGCGCGACATTCCCCTTTCCGGGCATGGTCTATTCTATGGACTTCGGATGCGGTCCCACTGACGGGAAAATGTGCCCCTCAGCCAAGCTAGGGTTAGACAAGGTGCTCCAGGGCACCACAACCTCTACCCCCAGGTGCTGACGCAACGCACGTGTTTTTACATTCGTTATTGGTTGAACCACCAATCGGAGTGAGTGAGTGAGAATGGTGTTGCGCCGCTTATGGCAATATTCCCGTAAGGTCATTGCGGGGATTCAAAGAATGGGCTTCACACATTGAAAATCAAATAAGAAAAAGAAGACATATATTCAGCGTGAATTCTCTTTTATACTAATTCATAAAGGATATCATGTCACGCCCTGTCGACCCGTGTCTTTCTGTAGAAATCTATCAGTATAAGTGCAAGTACGATGACATGGGTCGGTAACAGTACAAAAAACGTAAGCTTGACTATAGCACTATCTTATTCCATTGAACATTATGAATATTTCCCCTGTCTAAGCATTGAAACAGTTACAAACCTTTAACTAACCATTTCAGCGTTTTTACTTATTTATTCATTATGATATATAATTCATATAAACCAAGCAAATTAACTAAGACACAACATTGTCTGGATAACAGTGCTGAGAAGTCAAATGTCCATGTTGACTGTCAGAATACGGTGGAACTCACTCCCCTGGCCTTCAGTACGACCATTTTGCTCCTTCCATGTCGATTTACGGCAAGAGTACATTTCATTCATGATTTTCAAAAGCCTACGTAATACTTGTTAATAATTATGTTGTTAGGCCTATTATGAGCAAACGCCCTGATCGAGATTTATAATTTCTGTTTACCATTAAAGCTATCAAATTACTTCACACTCATGTGCGTTCAACACAACAAACTGAATAAAACACACATCTCCCAATCATTATCTGATCCACTATTATTCTTAATGTGGGTATAAATTGATATATTTTAATTCCACACACTTTCTTCCAAATCATGTTTCGAATTCCGCTAGCAACACAGTTTTGTTTACATTACTCTATCATTTACTTGGATCCATGGTTCAATTTGTAAATACCATGTATTCACGGATCTTCAAAACAAGGACCTAATCATGATACTTTTTTTTATGTTTGTGTCTTGTTCCAACACTGCATGGATGCACTGGATGAATGATCAAGCGCGTCCATTCTTTTGCCCAATGGTGTGAAATGACAAGTTGAGGCAGGGACAGCAAGGTGTTTTTGTCTTTCTCTCGCCTATACCTTCCTCTTTCTTTCCACCCTTTTGCCTGTCTGTCCCCCTCCACTCCGTTCTCGCTGCTACCCCCCTCCACTGTCCGTTCTGGCTGCTGAACCCTCCCTCCGACCCACCCCCATCTCTCACTCTTTTTTTGCGTATACCTTGTCACTGAAACTGATTATGAGAGCTGAGGGTGTTGTTGATCAAACAATAGGTAAGAAATATTTGTAAAATGTCTTTTTCTTTAATTTTGAATGACAAGGCTCTTGAATTACAGTTTGCACCTTGGTCTCACTTCCGGGTCCACAAGACATATTTGGCGCATGTGCATTAAAACGGAAGTAGAGTGCGAGAAGACGAAACAAAATGACGACGCCGGTGGTGGATAGCGTTCGCGAAAAGGCTCTAGCAGACTATCGTAAGAAGCTGCTAGAGCACAAAGAATTAGAAGCAAGGTTAAAAGAAAGTAAGTATTCTGCCTATGGGTATGAGGTTAAACATTCTTTTTCAATAAATATGTATCTGGTTAACAATAACAGTGATGAGAAGCTGAACGGCCATTTTGTTCAAACTTGCTGAATCACATTTGTACAGCACACATTATGCCGTCACTTCTGGCGTTGTTATAGATTGAGACAAATTTATTGGAAAGCATTCACTACGATTATATAAAGGCAACAGTATCATTTGAAAATGTATCCTTCACTTATAATTGTGGTAAAAAAATTGTGTAAACCAGTTGAAGACATTCAGTGTCACCTATTTTCGTGCTACTGACAGCCATGGATGACTTACAAGTAACAAGCGTTCGACTGTATTATTACAAATAGTTTTTATTAGAATGTAGGCTTTTCAGCAGTTCCTATAAAGAACTGTGGAGCTACATTTTACAAAAGAAAAAAATGGTGGATATTTGGTTATTAAAAGTAATAATCCTATCACGGTAATGGCATGCTCAACCTCAATAATGAGTTTGTTGATTGGTTTGCTTTGAGCTAGGCCATTTTTACCATATTCATGCCTGGTACATTCTTATGCTAATCTACTATCAACAGTTCTGTCCTACCGTTCCTATTCATGTGATACAAGCATGCTAGTAAGCTGCTAATGTCTGTTGTTAAGTGTAAACATATCTTTTCGATTTCATACAGAAGACATTCTTGTGGGATTCCATGACACTCATCCATCACATTCTTAATCATAAATATAATCATCTAAAAACCATCTGATAGACAATGCATAATTCTTTTTAAATTTGTATTCAAACCAGATTTAGGAATCATATTAAAGTATCAGAGTAGGTATCAACGAATCCACCTCCAAGGGAAGGAGTTACAAGCATGCATGTTCAAGTGAAATTACTGTCTTTTGTTGAAAACTGTTTATGAAATTCCTTCTAAAACTTGTAAATTGAAAAGGAAAAGGGGCTATTCATTTGAACGTTTTACTTCCTTTTCACTTTACAAGTTTTAGAAGAAACTTCATAAACATGATAAACCAACTGCATAATTTAGCTTGCACATGCATGTTTGTGATTCCTTCCCTTGTAGGGTAGTGAGGGTGGTCCACATTGATACTGCTGCTG